AACAGTGATTGCACAACAATAGAGGGCAAAGAATAATCTCTCAATCAAGAAAGAAGAAGTTTATATGCAATATTTAAAATGATATCCACCAACCAACAACTTTTTAGATCTTCTTGACTCTAATATTTTATTTTCCTTTTGACAGACTGAGGAATTTGAACCTCCAGTGACCCATCGGTAACAACAACAACATTTGATTTTCTAATTTTCATCAACCAACATCTTCAGTTTCCAGCATCCCTGGTAGTACTACGTGGTGCTATGTCACACATAATTGCTAGTGCAATGGCATTTTAGGCTATTTTAGTCATAAGAATCATATCTCCCGTGATTCCATCTTGTATTTTCTTGTCGTTGAAGCTGCCTCTAAAAGAGTCAGTGACCCTTTCAGTTTCCAGTCCTAAATAAATTTATAATTTTATTATATGTTTAATTACTATAACGTACGTCAGTTACCTTGTTCTTCAATAACAGAGAAAATAGTTCCCTAGAGGAACCTATCCCCATGAAGGATGAACAAACAATAAATGCCGAAAAAGTAATTCCCAAGAAAAATAGGTACATTAAACTTTTTACTGGCGGGATCTTTGCTGATCTTGATTCTTCCATAATAGGGACATTGTAGCTGGAATTACTCAGACATGAACTCTATGAAACCATTGCATTTAACACTCAAATGAAAAGAAGCGGGAAAAGTTGTTTTGAAGGTTTAATACAGACCTAGTTAAGGTTTAAACACTCTCATTTAAAACATGATTAGTAAGGACAGTTTGTCATTGTTTTAAGATAACTGTTAAGTTCTTTGTAAGTGAAGTAAGATGAATTTAAGACAATGGTTTTATAGTAAGTCTGTAGGAAGTTTGTTCATCCCGTAGTACACAATCATTGCTTGAAGGAGCTTTCTAACAGTGGACAAAATATGGGAATTGAAAAGATTTTTTATTTTCTAGAAGTCAATGAATGAGTTATATAAATTACAAGTAAATTAAATTTAAAAAACCCATGTTTCATTAACGTAATATATTGTCTATTTTAAAACACACAACCTTCGCTTTTCTTTTTCCTCTCTATTGTTGCATGTCTCATTCAGGGGGGAAATAATTTTATATTTGGAACCCGTAATGTCATTTCCTTCTTATTTTCTTTCGCAAATAAGCAGTTGAATTTGGTATTTTCTACCTGTCTAATAATCATTTTAATAATGCCAAAAATATGAAGAAGAAAAATGTTTAAGAAGAACCAGATTTCATGCCAATATATTCTTTATCATTGGAATAGTGTTATAGTCGTACGCTCCAACGTAGTGTACCCTCTATTATGTATTTCACTGCTCATAGATGTTGTAAAATCGTTCACGTGATTATACAGTTATGTTGATGAAACATTTCAGTTGTTTATAGTAATAAAATAATTTTTTGATCCGTAGATTATGGCTTACGCATAAGCAGAAAGCAAATCACGAAAGTCGTAATTATAGTAAGTGTGATCCTGTTGGAGAGGTTAAAGCGAAGTAAGAAAATCGAAGTCCATTAAGAGAGACATAGCCATGGGTTAGTTCAACAACCTTTGCCTTACAACTCTATAATACTAATGGTCCCCTTAATTGGGAACACTTATTTTCTTTTTAAAAGTTATCGCAATTGCAAAAACCTATGTTTGTTTTGTTTTGTCTTTTTTTTTTTCAATAGTTGTAGGGAGATGGGGAACGAACAAGGGTACCCAATGGAAAATAGAATGCATCCTTCATTCTTGTGGGGGGTAATGTGATGTAAATGATTTTATCATTCCTTAATAACGAGGGAAGGCTAAAGTGCTTTAAAGCATTGGTAACCTAACCCACATTTTACGCATATTATATGTAATTATTAGAGGATAAAATGTTAAGAAGTAAATTTTATGGTTATGTTTTAAATCAAGAAATATATAGATAATCTAATCTATATTAGAGGCACAAGAAGACCATTATAGTTAAATATGTTGATTATTTTTAGACGATAAAATATTAAGAAGTGAATTTTAAGACTAACTCAACTTTATATTATTAAATTGTAAAATAGAGTTTGCACTTATTTATATGATGTAAATTAGTTTTATTTTTAGTTGATGTAGGACTACTAATACAAAGATATGAATTTTAAGATTAAAGAACCAAATTTACTATAATAATTAAGAAATCTCAAGGAAAATATTTGTCCTTATAGAAAATCGTGATAGAAGTGAAGAATGTGCACTCCAAGATAAGATTAGATGATGTTTTTGTTTGAATTAATTGAAGAATTAATTATATTATGTGGCTCATTTGAAATATTATGATGGATCCAAATGTGATTTAATAAAATGTAAGAAACTATTAATTTTGAAAAGTTATAATAAAGATAAAATAAAAAACCAACATTGATTTATAAAAGGAATAAGAGTTATGTCTTTAGTCATAAGGTTCTTTCACAATAAACAATCAAGAAAGTGTGAAAGAAGAAAAGAAAAGGATAGATTAGTAAAAGGATGTTAAAAAATAAATTGAAGAACGCATTTTTATTCATCTGGATAAGGTTAATATCTTCTTAATATGATTTATGTATATGAATATATGAGAGTCATGAATTTTAATATCTAGAGTAGTTTTTGGCATGAATTAGAAACATAAAAAAACTTCAAATTTGGCTTAGATATCGTAGGAATATCTACTTTCAGTTTATGTTGATTATGGTATTTTCTATAGATGTTGGTAGCAATTTTTTATTGTTATTTAAATTGTTAGGATCATTGTGTTGTTGTTGCGGACCACTTATGGCTTGATATTAGTTAATGTTTTCTTTACTAATGTCAAGAAGACAACTTTTTTTTAGATGTTGAGATTTTCTTTACTTTGGTGTTGATGTTCTCAATATTTTTTTTTATATATGACAAAAATGTTTATTTTTTATCAATAGTTTTTTAGGATTTTTTATCCAGATGTATACTAAGATAACTTTTAGTCCATTAATTGTGATTTTTCATTTTAATTAAGAGATTTTTTTTTCAATCAACATCAATAACAAAAATTGGTAAAAAATATCGAGTAATTCTCTTTATACTTTCACTTTTTCGTCCTATACTTCAAAAATTTCTATATTACCCTTTTAATAACTATCTGCGATTAATATTTCACTGATATTCGAATGTCGATTAACACTCTGTCGTAGTTTGAATGTTGATTAACATTTTACTAGGATTCGAATGTTGGTTAAGAATTTTTTTAAAATTTTTATTTAATAATAATAATAATGAAATATATTAAAGAATTAGAAATTAATATTTTAAATAAAAAATTTAGAAAAATATAATTTAGTATATATTAATATTTTAATATACAAAATATTATTTATTAAATAAAAATAAATAAAACATATTAAAATATTAGAAAAAAAAACTTAAAAAAATATATAGAAATATGATTAACATTAATGTTCAATGTTAATATTCAAATTGAATATCTTAACCATATTTATTTGAAAATATGGTTAACATAATATTTTTAATTTTTTTAACATGTTTTATTTGTTTGTTTTAAATAATAATATTTATAAATTAAAATATCATTATATACTAAACTATATAAAAAAATATTAAATTAATTATAGATTTATTAAATTTAAGAAAATAATTTTTTATTATTAAATTTAATAAATTATATTTTAATTATTATTATTATTATTAAATAAAAAATTAAAAAATAATCTTAAGATTGTCGACAAGGTATTAACGATATTTGAATGTTGGTGAAGTTTTAATCAAAGTTTAAACGCGGATCATTATTAATGAAAAGAACAATATAGAAATTTTGGAGGTGTAAAAAGAAAAGGTAAAAATGTAGACAAAACCAGTCACAAATGTCAAGGAGCAATTAGTCGATGTTAACATGAATAATTGTAGTCAATACCCATTGAAAAATATTCACAAACTTTAATTAAAAAGTAAATTTAATTAAGAGGAACTTAAAGTTTATCAATATTAATACTTTTTATTTATTAATAACTATTTAATATTTCAATAATTTTTAATTAGCAATAAAATACTTTATTTAAATGAACTAAAGTTTAGTAAATTTATATTATATAATTCAAAATAAAATATTTGAAATAAGATTAATCCAAATTTAATGCATTTGAGTATTTTTAAATTTGTGAAATTTATTTTTTAAAATGAAAGGTTAAGATTATGTTTGGTATTAATAGAAATAGAAGGAAAAAGATGAAAGATATTAATAAAATAAAATAATTTAGAGCGGGAAAGTTGAAAATTTGAACCCACCTAAAAACTTTTTTTTTTTCGAAAAGTGAAAAACAAAACATGAAAGAATTGTGCAATTAGGGGAATAAATGGATTAGGGAATAAATCAAGCTCTACTTAAACGTAGTTTTTATCTTACAATTTTACAGTCTAGACATTGATCTATTACTCTTGACAAACCTATTCTTTGGGTTTAAATTAACTAGACCGTTTTATAAGTTCCGTTTAACTCGTTAACTTATTAAAGAGTTCGTTTTATATTAATAATTTAAAATATTATATAAATAAATATTAAACGAAATTTAGTTTTAAAATTAAATTTGACAGGTAACATATTTTGTATACGTATTGAAAAAAAGACATGAATCATAAAATAGCTTATTATATTATGTAATGGTAGCTATGTAATAAAAGAATTAAATTAAATAATCGCAAATACAATTTGTACTTGTTTTATTTATCCAATCACATAATTTATTTTAATTCAATATATATTTTCAATTCAAAAATATTTATGTCTACTCTTATATTTTATCTTTTATAATTTTCTTTTTCTCTTCTCTTCCTCAATACAAGAAAAAAAAATGTAATAAATGAAAAAGAAAAACTAAAAGAAAAACCACAGTTCAGATAAGAAGTTTCTGGATTGTTAAATTTCTTTCTTCTAAGTGAACTTACAAGAAAAAAATGAAAAGACACGTGCAGAAGTTTCTTGGTGTTTAAATAGCTCTTCAATTCAAAATGAAAAACCCCAACGGGTAAATTCAAAGCCCAAGAACTCCAGAACCAACACCATGGATTCGGGAGACGACGAGACAGGTTCGGCCTCCTCATCGTCTGAAATATTCCTTCTCGGCTTCATCGAGGCCAACATCGTCGGTGTGCAGCACTATCACGCCACCATCAGCGGCCGCGCCGTCGTCGTCCTTCACCGTGAGCCCGACAACGTCCACGATGCCAACGCCATCAAAGCCAGCAACATCCACGGGGACCACGTCGGTTACATTGAACGCGCCGTCGCAGCCGTCCTCACCCCTCTCATCGACGACGAACTTATCACCGTCGAAGCCATCGTACCCGACGCCCGCAAAACCTACCGAATCCTCTGCCAAATCCACATCTTCGCTCGCCTCCAAGACTTTGACTTCGTCAAATGTGCCCTTTCCCGTTGCCCCTGCAGACTCATCAACGAATCCGAGGCCGCCTTCACCCTCTCTGACTCCGCCGCCGTTAAAGCCACCAAGGCGGTGAAGAAGACCATGACCGTCGACGCCATTTTCAGCCTCATGAACAGCTACCTTGCCAATAAGAACCGCGCCATCGATTTCTTGGAGCCTCCGAGGAGCATCATCAGAACCGAGCTTCTCCCTCACCAGAAGGAGGGTCTCTGGTGGCTCGTTCGCAGAGAAAAAATTGATGACTTGCCACCCTTTTGGGAAGAAAACGATGGGAAGTTCGTAAATGTTTTAACCGATTATCAGACCGATAAAAGGCCTGACCCCTTGCGAGGTGGTATCTTCGCCGATGAGATGGGGTTGGGAAAGACCTTAACTCTGCTTTCTCTGATTGCTTTTGATAAATGGAGCCAAATGGGTTTCTCTAAGAAATGTAGAACGGATGGAAAGTGGGTTTCTTTAGAGAAGCGACGCAGGAATGAAATTGAGGGCTCCCGTGGAACCGAATTGAGAACAAATGCAACGTTGGTGGTGTGTTCTCCTTCTGCTATGTCGGCATGGATAACGCAATTAGAGGATCACACTGTACCTGGTGCATTGAAGACTTACATGTATTACGGGGAAAGAAGGACAGAGGACACTGAGGAGCTTAAGAAGTATGATTTGGTATTGACTACTTACACTACTTTGTCCAATGAATTGGACGAGATGCCGGCGAAGCAAATGGAGTGGCGGAGAATTATATTGGACGAAGCACACACCATCAAGAATTTCACTGCTAACCTGAGTAAGACGGTTTTCAGGTTGAAAGGTCAGTACAGATGGGCTGTCACAGGGACACCGATTCAAAGTGGTTGCATTGATTTGTATTCTTTTATGGTCTTTTTGCGGTTTCAGCCGTTTTCGGAACGAAGACATTGGAGAATTTTGGTGCAAACCCCTCTTAATCTGGGCTTGGAAAACGGGTTCACACGGTTGCAGGTAATACAATGTATGGTTAGTCTTTTTCTTCACAATATGATATGGTTGCCATTGCAGGTGGACATAGTGTAACATTAGTTTAGTCTTTATCTAGTTTATATGTAGCCGTGAAATGTTGAAATGCAGTTGAGTTTTTTGTAATTTTAATGATAGATTAATAATTATTCTTATTGTATTTTTCTGTCTTGTATTTTTGTGTAAGGTTACGTTTGTGGTTTATTTTGTAGGTTTTGATGGGAGCAATTGCTTTGCGAAGAACAAAAGAGTTGGCATTGACGTTTCTGCCACCCAAAACCGTTGAGATTTGTTATGTTGGGCTTTCTATGGAAGAACGGCAGCTGTATGAGAGGGAGAAAGAGAAAATAAAGGCATCGTTGAGAAGAGGTTATATCCGTGAGAGCAATCCACTTTCCGAGTCTAGCGAAGTGCTAAATAGTTTTCTATTACTCCGTCAAATCTGTGTTGATTTGAAATTGTGTAAATTTCAGTCAGAAAGTGAAGGTAAAATTTTGCCTTAACAGATGTATCTCTAATTTTGTCCTTTTTATTGTTGGAATTTGCTTTCGACCATTTGCAAAATGACGCCTGTTGGTAAGTTTGTTTTGCAGCAAACATAGATTTGAAAATATGTTTTTACCGTCACTATACATATGGATCTTTGTATAGACTCTGTGAAACTTGCTTTTATGTGTATTTGTGGAGGTGATTTATGTTTTATTGTACTAACAGGAGAAACAATTATATCTTATAATCCCGAGTTGCTGCAAAAATTACTTGGACAGCTGGAAGAAGGTGAAGATTTTGAATGTCCAATCTGTTTATCTCCTCCAATGGAAATTGTGATCACACGTTGTGCTCACATTTTCTGTCGTCCGTGTATACTGAGATCTCTAGAAGAGAGGAAAAAAAGTGGTTGTCCTCTTTGTCGGCAAAAACTCTCATCAGAATCTGATATATTCTCACCACCTCCCCAGCCAGAGACAGACACTGCTGAACTGAGCTCAGCCTCAGAAAAACCGCTATCGTCCAAGGTTTCTGCTCTGATAAAATGTCTGGATGAATCAAGAGACCAAAATCCAGGTGTGAAGTCAGTTGTATTTTCACAATTTCGAAAGTTGCTGTGTTTACTTGAAGAGCCTCTGAATGCAGCTGGTTTCAAGACTCTGCGTCTTGATGGGAAAATGAATGCTAAACAGAGAGCCAATGTTATTCTGCAGTTTCAAGCCCGAGAAAGTGGTTGTTGTCCAACTGTTCTACTTGCAAGCCTGAGGGCTTCAAGTGCAGGTGTAAATCTGACAGCTGCCTCTAGACTCTACTTTATGGAACCATGGTGGAACCATGCAGTTGAGGAACAGGCAATGGACCGTGTCCACCGCATTGGACAGAACCAGCCCGTGAAGATTGTTCGATTCATTGCTCAAAACAGCTTTGAGGAGAAAATGTTGGTGTTGCAGGAAAGGAGGAAACTACTGTTGAAAGAACCATATGGGACGGAAAGAAAGGGCATTGGCTATCTAGATTTGAAATTCCTTCTAGATTCTTAGAGATGCTTATAAATCACTGAATTTCATTTTTTTGTCTGTTTGATTACCTCAAACTTTTGCTCTGCCCCAGAATTTTGTTTGTCCAAGTATAAAGCCATTGGACTTAACTTTTTTGAATGATTGTGATAATGAAATGATAAACACTTTGTTACGAAACAACTTCTTTGATTAACTCAAATGCTAATATCTATGACAACTTTTTTTATTTACCAATAAATAATTACCATCTAACATAATAATTTAATTGTGATTTGCTGTACTGATGTTTCATAATTGAAATAAATTTATTATTATAAGTATATTACTTCTTATTATAACATGTATATTATGCTAATTTATGATTCAAAATATTAACTAAATATTTTTTATTAAGATCAAATATCACAATTTGATTGTAATTTGACATACCTAATTTTGCATGATTAATGCAACTAAGATCAACTTACACGGGTATTAGATATCATCGGAATGGAAATAAATTTAGGGTTAAAAATGTTTACTGAAATTAGAATTAGTTATTTTTTAAAATTTAGATACATTTTGATTTTTAAACTTTAAAAATAAATAAATAAAAATTTTTTAGTCTAATTATGTTAAATGTTTTTTATATGCCAAACATATATTTTAAGTAACATTAAATAAGAAACATATTAAATGATATAAATAATTCAAATGCTAACATAAAATATAAAAAAAATAATATAAAAAGTTAAAAAAGACTAAATTCATTAAATTTTTAAGTTTAGGAATCATAAATATGAAAGTTTGGAACATTGAATAAATTTTAATTTTACATGGAAGAACTAAAATTATATTTAACCAATAAATTTATTAATGTAAATATATTACTTTATTATAAAATGTATATCCATTAATTAAATCTCTTGAAATTCACCAAACAACATAATACCTAAATTATAGTAATTTGGTATAATTTGGTCAATTAAAATAGATTTAATTGTAATAAGATTTATCAACTTTAGCAACTTTAGTTATGTTACCGTCTCAATTAATTAAATGGTTCAAATTATTAATTAAATATTTTTTATTTAGAAAACTATGGTCAAATATTATAATTTGATTATGATTTGATGTACATAAATTTTCATAATGCAACTAATTATAATATGATAAAATTACATATGAATTATATACTATTAAAATTGAAATAAATTTATTAATGTAAGTGTATTACTTTTAACAGCGTATATCCATTAATGGAATCTTTTGAAATTTATCAAAAAACAATATGATTTCTAACTTGTACCAGTTTGATTCAAATAGATTTAACTTAATGTAGTATGCTAAAATCTAATAAGATTTATCAATTAGTTGGGTTAACATATCAATTAGTTTGTACACTTAATATTAGGGATGACAATAAGGTGGAGATGATCTAAGTTTGATTATCTCATCCCCATATCTACATTAAAAATTTATAATCATCTTCATCCTTTGTAAGAATGAGTATATTTATACTTGCATCTATTCCTGTCAATTTACTATTCAAAATGTTAATTAAATATTTTTTATTAAGAGAATTAAGATCAAATTTTTTAATATGACTGTGATTTGATGTATCTTATAGTAGTTTGGTCAATCAAAATAGATTTAATTTAACTTAATATGTTACAATGTAGTAAGATTTATTAATGGTGTTTATGTTACCGACTTAATATTAGAGATGACAATGAGTTGGAGCTAGACTAGGTTTGATTATTCCATCTCGAACTCTACATTAAAAGTCCATCATCATTAAAGGACGAACGAACGACCTCCACTAATAAAGACTCCTAAACTTCACTTATAAATTACTAGTAAGAGTTACTTAGTATGTAATGGATCGTAATTAGGATTACACTAATCACAAATTCATATTTAAACTTATAAATAGATATCAAAAGTAAAAAGATAGGTAATTGTATTTATTGTAAATTTAATATTATACTGTGATTCTCAATCGGTTTAATCACTTACTTAAGCGTCGGAGTACTTTTAATCGGTACACCCGGACAATTTGGAGCTTGGATAAAAAAGGATTTTGACTAAGAGTTTGGAACGTCAGAGTGCAGAGTAACCTAAATTAACTTGTGTGAAAGATTATTTCGTGAAAATCGACCCGACACCTTAAATAAAATCCTTTAAATATAATTTATAATAGTTTTGTTAATGAAAATGGATTTAATTTAACTAATATTCTAAAATGTAATAAGTTTTATCAAAATTAGATATGTTATCATTAGTAATGACAAAGTAGATGGAAACGGGTTAGAATTTTTAACCCAGCATCCCTTACAGCCTAATGTTTTTTCTTTTTTTGAGTTTCAAAATAGTGGATTTAATTCCTTTAGCAGACTTTATCATCCTAATTTCTATTGGAAATGTGTAAATTTACACATGCATCCATATCTAACCATTTAAGATTCAAAATATTAATTAAATATTTTTTATGAAGAGAGTTAACCAAATATCATAATTTGATTGTGATTTTATGTACTTATTTTTTTTATAATTGATGCAACTAATGACAATATGATCAAATTAGATATAAAGTAGTTACTATCAAAATTGAAATATATTTATTATTATAAGTATATTACTTTATATTATAACATGTATATCTATTAATGAAATCTTTTGAAATTCAATAAACAACATACATGCCTATAAAATGTAAATGTCTACATAACTTTTACAATTACTTATATTACAAAATAATAAAGCATATTAGATATATAGTTATTATTAGAGAAAAAAAGACTAAGTGTAGGATAAAACACAATTCATAATATCTAAATATTTTTTAGATATGTGGATAGAGAGAGTACACACACAGAAATAGTGGATACATACGTTTTCGTCTTCATATTTAATTTAAAAAATAAGATATTATCTATATTCAGTTAATAAATGAGAATCTTGAATTTGGATATATTTATCTTTCAATAATGTTATAATGAGTTTGATTTTAACATATTTTTAAGTAAAAGTAAACGTTTATTATTAATTATTTTAAAAATAAAATTTAAAATAATTATTATGAATTTAACATTTTTGTTGTATGATAATATGATTAGGTAATAACAGACTATCTTTTCGTATGAGTGCATGTTTATTTAATTTATAGCATAAAATTTGAATAAATCAATTAAGTCAGGATAGATTGGTTAACAAACTCTTAATTTTGATATTTACAAAAATAAATATCATATACCATGGTCTATGAGCTGATGAAGTAATCACTATGGCAATTCATATTCTTTGCAGTGTATTAGGATTTAGAAATGTAAAAGGCTTTTTGGGATCTCTAAAAAAATGAAAGATAAATATTTAGTGAGCCATTCAATATAATTTAATTTACCAACTTCAACAAGGTATGGAAATAATTTTATCTATAAAGATCAAGTTGGTAAAATAAATCAAATGACATGCACCATTATGTGCTTCTATCTCTATACGGAGTTATGAAAAAAGAGATAAAAGAAAAATAACTATTTGTTCGTGTCCTCAAATACCCGTGTTAAACAAATTATTTAAAAAATACAGTTCAGAATGCAAGAAAAAAATAATTTTTAACATTTTGGAATCTACTTTTCAAATGAGAAATTGCTTTCAGAATACATTTGGAAGGAAAGAAACAAGAGGGGGAGTGTGATAGTAGAAAAAGAGAGTGTAAAAAGTTCAAAAACCTCGTTTCAAAATTTGCAAAACAAATAATTCGGAAGTAACTTTCACAAAAATAAATTAATCATTTTAAAAATTTTGGGGTGCAAGAAGAAACAAACCATTAATGATTCTTGGGCTAGCCCAGTGTTTTTTAATTAATGTTACTATTTTTTAAGTGATTTGAACTAAATTTTGTAAAGGGTGCTACTCCCTCCACCCCCACCGAATACTCCCTCTACCCCCACCGAATACGCCCTGCACCTCCCTAAAATTTAATTTTTTTTTGTAATGTCAAAAGTACCCTTTTTACCTTATTTATTTACTTTTTCTTTCTCTTTCTAAAACCTAATTCCTTACTCATTTTCACTTTTTCTCCACCCCCCAAATTCCACATCCGTCTTCTTCCCACCTTCCCACACCCTGAGATCCGTTTGCTTCCAACCCACATCAGTTTCTTTGAATCCCCTAAGTCCCACTATCTCTTGTTCTCTTGTAGGTGGTGCGGTGGTTGTTCGTGGTGCGACGCTGCGACAGTGTGTGCGGTGGTCCATCAGCGTTGCGGAGGTGCGGCGGTGTGCGGTGGTCATTTGGTGCTTCCTTCTTGTGCAAGTCTACAAGAGGTTAGTTTGTTGTTTAATCATAGATAGATTTATGAATTTTTGCTGATTATTGTCGTGCTGTTGTGTTTGGTGGTGGTTTTTGTTTCTGTGTGCAAAAGAAGAAATAACCACGCAGGCCATGAACGGATGTCGTATATCCGTTTGGCCTTGAAGCAGATGTCGATATCCGTCGACAGATTATCACATCCGTTGAATAATTACAATAACTTTGCGCTCCTGGGACGAAGCTTTCCTCTGCTGCCTCCGACAACCACTACCACAAACAATGACCTCTACCACCACTGGTTCCTTGCACCACTTGCAATCTCCCGCCAAGCAAAGCCTACCACTTCACACGAGCACTACACACTCTCAGAACAATGAAATAGAGGAAGAAGAAAGAAAGGGATAACTGAGGCATAGCTGATTTCCGTGTTCAACTTTTGTTGGGGTGCATTGTTATAAAAGTGGGATCATTATAATTAATGAAGTAGGTTAATGTTGTTGGCCAAAATTTATTGTACAGTAAATAAGGACAAATTTATCATGGAGAGGTACAGGGAGTATTCGGTGGTGGTGGAGGGAGCAACACTCTTTTGTAAAGTGTGAAATTGAGTGTTTCTTCTTGGGTCTTATTAAATTTCTTCTAGCACCCCATCATAAACTTCTTGATCCCAAACAAGAGTGTGGGATGAGTGTCTTTCAGAATTAATATGTCGTGTTCCGAAAAGCAAAGTCCTATCGATAGAGGTGCAGGAAGAAATTTGTTAGATTGCAGAACGAATGGACAGTGCAAAAGGAAAAAAAAAAACTTATTAAACTAACGAATAAAAAAGTGAAGGCTAGATTGTTG